CCATCTATGAGATGGGTTTTGCTGGAGGACTTGGGTGGTGGATGATATGGGAGGATGAGGAAGTCTAACACATATCTCAAGGGAATTTGATGTTGGTTAGAACAATCAATAATTTGAGTTGTATATTAGCTATTATATAGTACTGCATGTCATCATTACTACAAATGCTATATGTTTTATTAATGGCCTAACAGTAAGAATTACTCAAGTTAAAGAAGAATTAATTATATTAGAAATAGAACTGGAGTCAGTGTGCAACAATCCAACACCGTGCATCATCATACCCATATAATAGTCCTTAAGGACTATTATAACAGATAAACCCCAAAGCCATGGACTAGATGAAATCCTCTGACAATTTAGAGGCCTATAGAATATGGGAATGACAACTGCATGTGTGTATCATAAGGCAAGATAGGTGATATTAATTTATGGGTCTGTATGGAAAAGTATGGAATCTGAGCATGATGTAAATTATATGGAATAAAGGGTGGATATTGTCCTGGTTTAGGCTGAGTCAGAGTTTTTTTTTTGCTTATATATTGTCTGATATGACGCAACGGTTTGGCTCCAGGCGAAAAACAATGTTGATAACATACCAGTTAACTTAGTTGTTGCTGAGCAGGATGGTTCAATTTTTCAGCTTCCCTTACTGTTCTGCCTCAGTCTTCACTGGCACTCAGGATTCTAATATTTCTCATGCTCCTGAGCCCTGCATACCTAAACCTGTAGATGGGGACTTGGACAGTAAATCCCCCCCACTATAAGGGCAGAGCAAGTCCGAGACCGCCTCATGAGTCTGAATGCAAACGAGCTTGCATCCCAGGGTTCTGAAGGAGCTGGCTGAGGTGGTTGCTGAGCCGCTCTCCATCATATTTAAAAAGTCATGGCTGTCAGGTGAGGTCCCAGATGACTGAAGGAAGGGTCATGCCACTGCCATTTATAAGAAATGGAGCAAGGAGGACCGGGGAACTACAGGCCAGTGAGTCTCACCTGCGCCTGGGAAGATCATGGAACAGATCCTGCTGGACAACCTGCTTGATCACATGAGGAATGAGCGTGTGATCTGAGACAGCCAGCACGGCTTCACCACAGGAAGGCCATGCCTAACCAATATGGTGGCCTTCTATGATGGAGTGATGACATTGGTGAACAAAGGAAAGGCAACCAATGCCATTTACCTGGACTTGAGGAAGGCCTTTGACATGGTCCCCCACCACATCCTTATCTCCAAATTGGAAGGATGTGGATTTGATGGGTGGACCACTCAAGGGATAACAAATTGGTTAAAAGGCCACAGACACAGGGTGGTCGTCAATGGTTCTAGGTCCAGGTGGAGGCAGTGTCCCCCAGGGGTCTGTCTTGGGACCGGTGCTCTTTAACAACTTTATCAATGACATCGATGATGGAATCGAGTGCACCCGCAGCAAGTTTGCTGATGACACCAAGCTGAGTGGTGCAGTTGGCACGGTGGGAGGAAGGGATGCCATTCAGAGGGACCTCAACAGGCTTGAAAGGTGGGCCCAGGTGAACCTAATGAGCAACGAAGTGCAAGGTTTTACACTTGGGCTGGAAGAATCCCAGGCATTTATACAGACTAGAAGGAGTGATTCCTTGAGAATAGCCCTGCAGAGAAGGACCGTGGAGTCCCGATGGATGAAAAACCTAACATGAACCAGCAGTGTGCCCTTGCAGCTCAGAAAACAAATGGTATCCTGGGCTCCATGAGAAGAGGGGTGGCCAGCAGGGACAGGGAGGTGATTGTCCCTCTCTATTCTGCTCTTGTGAGGCTCCATCTGGAGTACTGTGTCCAGGTCTGGAGCCCCCAGAACAAGAAAGACAGGGAGCTGTTGGAGAGGGTCCAGAGGAGAGCCACAAACATGATCAGAGGTTTGGAGAACATCCCCTATGAGGACAGGCTGAGGGAGCTGGGCTTGTTCAGCCTGGAGAAAAGAAGGCTGCAGGGTGACCTCATTGCAGCCTTTCAGTACCTAAAGGGAGCCTACAAACAGGAGGGGAGTCAACTTTTTGTACGGATAGATAACAGAAGGACAAGGGGGAATGGTTTTAGGTTGAAGGAGGGAAGAATTAGGTTGGATGTCAGGGGAAGTGGAAAGGTGCTGGAACAGCTGCCCAGAGAGGCTGTGGATGCCCCGTCCCTGGAGGTGTTCAAGGCCAGGTTGGATGGGGCCCTGGGCAGCCTGGTCTGGTACTAAATGTGGAAGTTGGTAGCCTTGCCCTTGGCAGGGCTGTTGGAGATTCACGATCCTTGAGGTCCCTTCCAATCCGGGCCATTCTGTGATTCTGTGCCAGGGAGGGAGTCTGAGTGGGCACTAGGAGTTTGGAGATGACAGACCCAGGACAGCTGACCTAAACTGTCCACAGGAATATTCATACCATTTGACATACAGAAACAAACAAACAAACAAACAAACAAACAAAAACCTGAGAACAGTGGGGACAGCTTCTTCTGGTGGAGCAACTGGGCATCTTTCATCTGGTGATGAGCAGTTGCTTCTATATATACAGTTGCTTTGTATATATACAAGAGCTGCTTTGAAAGAAATGCCTTCTATTTTATTATGTTGACTCAACATCAGAGTCAGGTGTTGGTAATATGGCAGTAGAAGCTGAACCCTCCTGCTAATTTGCTGTTAAATTTTGTTGCCTACAACATATGGTAGAAAAGAGGTAGTCTAATGAAATAGGATATGACGTGGAAGTGCATATGAACCAAATGTGTGTAACTGAACTCCTACTTACTGTAAACTACTTACTACTAATGATTCCCAAATGAAAGGAATCACTGTAAGTAGGACACAGAGGAAGAAATCTCACTTCCAGCCATGGCATCAGTCTTACACAAGCAACACTTTAATTCCAGGAAGCTGTTTATGTTCAAAAGCCAAGAGTTTGTTCTTTCCATTCTCATTAGAAACTTGCACGGACGTATCAGGGAAAGGCGTTAGTGGTTTTGATTACAATTCTCAACATAAAAAGACAATGATATTTAAATCAGAGCATTTGAAAGACAAAAGGAAGTCTGATTAAAAAAAAAATCTGCTGGTTTTAATATGTGATACTTGTAGTTCAGAAAATAAAAATACAGGAGTTAATATAGATACTGAAAAAGGTCAATAAGTTTAATCTGAAGAACCTTTGAATATTGGTAAAAAACTGGAAAATTGGGCTACACTAAACCATGTCAATTGCATATTAATTTTGCAGCCTGTAATCAGGTAAATCTTGCATGGGTTTTAGATGTATTATAAAAGCAGACATGGAAAGTATTTCAGTGGTTCTTCTGACAGCTAGTTTGTGTACTTCATCACTGCACCAATTTTCATGGTACCCCATAAAGTTAATTTCACTTATATGGGAAAAAAATATATTCTCTTCACTGACCTTTACACTGCACTGGAAAAGCATTTACAGTATACCTTTGGTATAAAGTAAACAATAATAATGGTAACGTGTAATTTTTTGCTTTCTTGTTTCTGTATGCATGGATAAAAGATTAGACACATGGCTAATGTACAGGAAAAAAAACAACCAAACATCTGACATATGATTTTCATGTTGGAAGCCAGAATTGGGTTTTCAAATGAACAAATGGGATTCAGACAACTGTTTGCCATTACATTTCAATTCTGGTGCATTTATACCTTTGAAAATCTGCTGTTTTGGATTACAAAAGCCCAGAATCAAAACTAAAGACTTTGACACTAATACTGCTTTTCAACAGACGCCGAACAGATAAAACTGTTCAAAGAATATATGTGCTAATGTTCAGGTCGTAAAAATATGTTCACCAAATCCCCATCAGAACAATGCTTTTGCACCAACGTTATGTCAGCACAGGAAATTGAACTAAAGGATGGTGTGTGAAGCACTCATTTTGAGAACCTTGAGGTCTTCTAGAACAAGGTTTGAATACCACTGAATACCACTGGCATAAATTATTAAAGTTCCACAGAAGTCAGTGAAAGAATATATATGAAGACTGCTCTGAAAGTAAAACTTCCTATTTTATTATGTTGGCCCATTGTGGTGGTATGGAAGTAAAGGCCAAACCTTCCTGATAATATTCTGTTAAGTTTTGTTGCCAGATGACAGCAGAGGGGCAGTCTGACAAATCAGTATTTGTAATGGTTGTGCATGTGAGGCAAAGGTAAATCCTCCAAGTGGAAAACCTTGCACTCATTGACATTCACTGCTACTTGCTGAATGTTTATGCAGACCAAACAGTGAAGTAGTGGGCAGTGTGTTTCAGCAGTAGTGAAAACGATTGTGGTGACATGTGCTAGTGTAGACTTTTTGCAAGCACAATGTGCAGACTCTTGTTCATCACTGGTGAAAGCATATAGCAGTTGGTGGTGACTACATTGAAAAATAGTAGTTTTTAGCTGGGAATGTTCTCTGTCAAATAATGTTGTGTTCTTTGTATCTGTTGTAGTTTCCACAGAAATAAATAAGAGCTGTTGTTGTCAGATAACCTGTGCATTTAGTCTAGAGTGGACCTCCATTGCCATGTAGACAGAAAGTAAGAGTTGTCCGAAGTTTTCAGAATTAACAGATTTTGATGCATTCTGGATTTGAATCTGGGAGTATCACGTGAACAGCAAGATCTGCAGTATAGCAGTTTTTCTCATTGTTTCCAAATTTGATTGGAACACTTCTCCACATGACAGAGACAACTTTCATTCTTATGTATTATAAATGTGAACTGGGTATAGCACACAGGCAAGAGAGGAAGATTTACAGCATAGGTAACAAACACGCACAGTAATATCCTTGAAGGGGAAAAAAAAAAAAAGGATGATGAGGAAAGCACGTGTGTGTACTAGGGATGAAGAGATAAATTGGGCACAGGAGGCAGCATGCTTTATTCACAGTGGAAGCACACATACTCCCTACCATTCACTCAGGAGTAATGTCCTGACCTGTGGTTCATGGAACTCAACAATCTCAGAAGAAACAGAGAAGAGGAAAAAACTGACCTGTTTTTCATTTTCATCCTCCAGCCTCAGCCTGTCCTCTATGCAGTTCCTGGCCTGAAGGAACGCCTTCCTCTGAGCCCTTTCTGTCAAAATCCTCACAAAGACTCCATACAAATTTACACTGACAAAAAGGATTGCATTGGCCACAAGCTGTAAGAAAGAAAAAGAAAAAAAAAAGAATATTTTAAAATGCAGATTTATTTTACATTTCTATTCAGCAAAAGAAATTTGAACGGAAATAACCCTCTTTACAATTCTGACTTGCTAGTGATGTCACTGAAATCCCTTCACATATCCCAGCTGCAGAGAAACTATAATAACAAGTCCAGACAGACAACATTGCACAATACAGGATTTCTTAGTTCCTGAGTTTAATTTTTCTTATGATGATTGGTAGGTTATTAATTTTGTTCAGCATCAATTCCTACATCAGTCCGTCTGGTAAAAATGCATTTCAGCATTTGCTTAATTTCATGATGCTCACAATACAGAAATTATTTTCCTATGCCTTTACAATTTAGGGAAACTATTGTCACTTTTTTACATTTGAGAAGTGAAGCATTATCAAAATCTGCAACTATTTCAAAATCTATTCCTATGGTATCTATTCTTAGGCATTCCAAGCTTTCATACTGTATACTTTGCATATGGAAAATATTTTCTGTCCACATCCTTGCTGCTAGAGAATGCACTATACTTCTTAAGAAATCTCCCCAAAATACTATTGATGCCATTGTGTGGTGTACCTCCTAGAAGATGTCAAGTGCTTTCAAATGGTACACAAAATGCTTGCACCATTTACACAAGCCTATGCTCACAGGTATGCTCTGAACCTATTAAATATTTTGGAATTATTTGTATAAGCAGTGCTTTGAAGAACAACACCTAAATGACTTAACAGTCCTGCAGATTTTGTCTTTTTTTAAACGTTTTTGCAATATGTGAGAGAAGTTAATTAAACTAATGTAAATAATACTAGCCTGCATGCCACCTCCTTATCCAAGACAGTCCCATCCATATTTCTCATTTCATCTCTGATTTCTGAAACTATGATATTTTTATAGAATAATGATAATGAAAACTCGTATTACATAAGTATCTTTAGATGGTGAATTTTGCAAAGCAGTGTTTGTTTAGAAAGGGGGCAATAAGTTTTATCTACCAACTATCTTTTCAATCTTATTCTCCATATTTACCATAGTCACCACCACAGAATCTTGATGAGGATTCATGGGACTCACGAATTTCCAAAATTTCAGAATTCAGTGGGCACTTCTATTGGCTAAGGTGTAGCATAACAAGAACAATGAAAAACATCACAGTAAGTAACGTCTGAAAGTCCTGTGCAACTAAAGTTGTTCCTTAAGACTATATAAATGACATATATTTCTAAATTTGAAGTGTACACTTCAAACTAGTACAGCTCTACTTTTGTATGCCTTGCCAGTGTAAGCTGAAGTGCACTCATATTTGCAATGCACAATGAGTCTTGCTATTTAAACATCAAAATCAATTAAAAAAAAAAATCATTCACACCACTGTAGAAAATTACTTACTTACTAACTTTCATAACGTTGTTTTACAGATGAGCATCAGACTAGAATTCAGATAATCTAGGGAGTAAAGAGTCAAAATCACATGCAGAAACTTGCTGCTGATTTGAAAAGCCTTTGGGAAATGTTTCATCCCACAAAAGTAATAAAGGTATTTGTCATGTGTACCTAATGGCAATATACATCAAGTATGATCTCCGTACAATGAGGTGAATTAAGGATTCCCTATGAATGGGTTTTCCAGATTTTCATTCACAATTACTCTGTCTTAAATCACAGAATCATAGAATTGATTAGGTTGGAAAAGACACTCAAGATCATCAAGACCAACATCAACCTAATTGTACTACCCTAACTCTAGCAACCTTCTGCTAAATCACATCCCTGAGCACCACATCCAGAGGTTTTTAAACACATCCAGGGTTGGTGACTCAACCACCTCCCTGGGGAGCCTATTCCAGTGCTTAACAACCCTTCCTGTAATGAAGTGTGTCCTGACATCTAACCTAAACCTCCCCTGGTGCAACTTGAGACCATTTCCCCTCATCCTGTCACCTGTCACCAGTGAGAAGAGACCAACCCTGCTCTCGCTGTAAGCACCTTTCAGATATTGGAAGAGAGCAATAAGGTCTCCCCTCAGCCTCCTCTTCCCCAGACTAAACAGCCCCAGTCCCTTCAGTCTCTCCTCATAGGACACATTCTCCAAGTCCTTCACAAGCCTTCTTGCCCTTCTTTGGACCTGCTCCAGCACCTCAGTGTCCTTTCTGTACTGAGGTGCCCAAAACTGAATGCAGCACTCGAGGTGAGGCCTCACCAGTGCCGAGTCCAGGGGCAGGATGACTTCCCTGGTCCTGCTCACCACTCCATTCCTGATCCAAGCCAGGATGCCATTGGCCTTCTTGGCCACCTGGGCACACTGCTGGCTCATATTCAGCCAGCTGTCCATCAGTACACCCAGGTCCCTTTCTATCAGGCAGCTTTCCAGCCACTCTTCCCCAAGCCTGTAGGGTTGCCTGGGGTTGTTGTGACCAAAATGCAGGACCCGACATTTGGCCCATCAATCCAGTCTATCCAGGTCCCTCTGTAGTGCCTTTTTACCCTGTGGCAGATCAACACTTCCTCCCAAATTGGTACCATCTGCAAACTTACTGAGGGTGCACTCAATCCCCTCATCAAGGTTGTTAATACAGATATTAAATAGAAGTGGCCCCATACTGAGCCCTGGGAGACACCACTTGTGACTGGCCGCCAACTGGATTTAACTCCACTGACCACAGCTCTTTGGGCCCAGCCATCCAGCCAGTGTTTCCCCCAGTGGAGTGTACACTCTTCCAAACCACGGGCAGCCAGCTTCTCCACGAGTCAATGATGGGGGGCACAGGCCCAGAAAAAAAGGAGTGACAGAAGGGTGAAGAGAAGTAAAAAAGAAGGGGTACTAGCAGTTTGCCATGTGATCTGGCTGGCCTTGTTCTCACAGCAAGGCACATCATGGGCTGCACTCTCCGGGAGGGTGATGGGGGAAAGGGCAGAGAGCTATTAGATGGATTTAATAAAAGGAACACACCTGCAATGATCTGAAGAGGAATGGAAATTTACTAGATTTAACCAAATCAAACAAAATGAGAGAGACAAGAGTGCCCAAAGTGTGAGGAAAACACGTGCCCTTCTCTGCAGCCAGCTGAGCCAGCCCCAAGAGAGAGAGATGCCTGGGGTTCTGTCCAGAGCTCCACCTCATTCCTCTTTGCACCAAGTCCTCTGGGGATGCCATTCCTGCCCTCAGAATATTCAAAATGTCCATACGAGGCAGTAAATGGAACCAGAACATTAACTTTTTAACTCTCACTTGTTCACATGATGTTCTGGTGTGGAATACTGACAACAAAAAAATCACCGAAGCACGACAGGGGGACAACTAGACCACATTGACAGCCTTACCTTCATCTGCTAAGTGGGTCATCTTGTCATAGAATTATATCATGTTTGTCAAGCAGGATCTACCATTTATGAACCCATCCTGTTTGGGCCTGATTGACTTTTAACTGATCCATGTTAGCTCCCAAGTTTGTCTGTTCCATAACCTTCTCTAGCACTGATGTGAGACTGATAGGTCTGTAGCTACCAGGATCATCTTTCTGTCCCTTTTTGAATATGGGCATCACATTTGCCAGTCCATTGGGACATCCCTGGTTAGCCAGGACTGAAGGATAATAGAGAGTAGCTGGGCAACAACATACGCTAGCTCCCTCAGCACTCTAGGGTACAATCCATTTGGCACATGGAGTTAAGAGTGTCCAGCTTTTGAAGCAGGTTCAAAATCATTTCCTCATGGATTATGCAGAGCCTATTCTGTTCCCCATCACTGTCTTCCAGCAAAAGGGGCTGTGTTCCCAGGGAGTAACTAGTCTTACTATTGAAGACTGAGGCAAAGAAGGCATAAAGTACCTCAGCATTAGCCTGATTCTTGGTCACTACGTTCCCCTCTGCATCACTTCTTTTTTCATTCTTTGTAATTATAAACTAAGACAGCTTCCCTTCAAACATTCTTACCAAAAAAGACAAAAGCAAATGATATCCTGTAACAAGAAAAGGGACCTATGTCTTCCATTAGTACTTTATTTCTCCTGTGTGAACATACATGTAAAAATTTGAAGATGAAAAGCAATACACAAACAGATTTTTTCATGATACAGATGAGCATAAACAGTTGGTAGTTCCTATTGTGCTTTATTTTCTTCAAAACACAAATCTGTTCAAGGCATATCAATTTTCAGCAGAAGTCAAACATCAGTAAAATGAAATTTTGTAGAAATTCCAATTGAACCCTATTTTTTGAGGCATGAATGCTGCTGCACTTGCCTTCTCTCTGGATTTTATGCTGAAATGTAGTGACAACAATGTATAGTAAAGCTAATTCTTAAAAGTGCAGTGGAATCTGTAAAGGCCATATTCTGGGGGAATAGACAGAGAACAAAGAATAAGCAGCAAGGAGTTATAGACAGTGCGACTGCTTGATATTGCCCCTATACAAAGCACCTGTTAATAGCACAGTATTCAGAAATAATACTACATTTATGTGTAAGAGTGACTTAAATAATTACTTCTAAGGAACATTAGTCAACTAGGTTTCTAGCCTTCAGCTGGGAGCAGATTATGTATTTTAGCAATCTGTCAACTGTTCTGAGATTATTATGATTTCTCTCAAACAATGATGATCATCTGGACTGGAGTAAACAGTGGATTGCTGTAATCATGCATCCACCTTCAGACTCAGCAGGGTGAGTTTCCATATGCTTTGAGTAGTTTAAGATAAAACAGGGGGTTAGCTGTCAGCTCTGGTCTGTAGGGAATTATGAAATAAAGCAAGTAAAAGATTAATAGATTTCAGAATGTGAGAGAAGAAAGTAGGGCAGACTGTCTCCTGCGATAAGAATTCTTCTCCTCCACAACACTTTTTTTTACTTACTACTTTTTCCCCAGTTGCGAACTACATACAATTCTGTCTGTAATTTTTCCGAATATATGCCACTCTCATGGTCCCTTTCATTTTAATGTGTTAAAGCATTAATATCACCCTATACTCATACATACATACATATG